CTTTACTTTAGCATTCCTATTCTGCGCATGCGCGAAATAAATCTGAACATTTTTGAAGTTCTTCACAAATTCAGATTCAATTATATTATCAAGCACACCCAGTTCACATCCATCGCAATCTAATATCAACAGATCAATATCAAACTTTCCAACTCGGATACTTCTAAAGAATTCTGTAGCGTCCTTCATCTCAACTGTCAGTTTGTTTCCGCCATTTTCAGACGTGATATTGTTTGTGTTGTCAATTTTTGCCAACTCGTTTCTTTTACCAAGTCCAAAATTTAGGACAGTAACCCTGTAATAGATGAAAAGTGATCAGATGGATAAAGACAAAGGTGTTCAGGATATGGGAGTAAATATCGGGAGATGTTACTAAATGGTCATGTATTTCCACAAAATCCTTCGGATATAAAAGTGCAAAAATGTTTGGTTTATGGAGATAAATGTTGACAGAAGTTATTAATTCATTATCTTTTTTCCATGAACTCCTTAGGATTCAATAGTGCAAAAATGTTTGTTGTAATTAGATAAATTTTGGGAATAGTTATAAAATGGCCATCTATTTCCACGAACTCCTTAGGATACAAAAGTGCAAAAATGTTTGCTGTAATGAGATAAATGTTGGGAGATGTTATTAAATGATTATCTATTTTCATGAAACATTTCATAGGAAATTGAAAAGCAAACGTGTTTGGTGTTTAAACGTAAATATCGGTCATTTAAGTTTTTAATTTGCTAAGCACAGCTTTTTTGTTTTGTTACTGTTTTGAGTTGTTGATTATTTTAAAGTAAACATGTACTTTAACCCCTACACCATTATTTATAGCCAAATTTGCCCCCCCCCCCCCCCCATATATACGTAGTTCGCAATTGATATTATAGCCTAAAACAGGTCATTCTATAAACACGCACCTTGAATTGGATTCAAACTTCTTCCTGAGAGAATCAGCAAAGATAGCTATTGGTTCTAGAATCACCACTTTCGGGTTGTACGTGTTAATTATCGTGGATAAATCTTGTCCCGTATGTCCTGTAACAGTTTAACTATAATATTATACTTAAAAAGATATAAATAAATATATCATTTAGTCAACACAATCTGGTTTCAAAACTGAATGCATCTTCATATATGGCAATTGTAGTTTGTTGATTTCTTTTCACTTTCAAATAGAGTCTCAGATCAGAAGCAAATGCATGTCCGTTTATGAATATACGAGTATGTTGTTGTTGTTTTTTTATAATGTATAGTTTTATCAGAATGTTGTAATGTCCTTCAGCCTTATATCATTCAAATTTAATTAAGACCAGCTACTCTTCATCGAAAATAAAATTACATATACATGTATTTCATTTTAGTGACTATAGTATCAGTCAGCGAGGTTTCGGTGGTTCGAAGTCGTTGAGATAGGGGATCAAACTTCGAAATATCAATCATTTGAATCTTTGTAGCATTCACATATATTGTTACTGCCACTTCCAGTACCGTTAAGTCATTATTACTCGTACAATATAAAAAAATACATGTGTAAAAGGTTTATTTCAACAGACTTGATTAAAACGAATTTAAATTCTAGTTGAAAAGAAGTGATGTAGCATTAATTAAGATATTGAAATATACAAAGAATGGTAGCTTAAAATACGTGCCTCCAACGACAACCACAAAAGAGTTCGTATTTTGCAAATATTTATGATGGCTTATACAAATGTTTCGGTTAGCATTGAACCTTTCCAGTTCTTGCTGAATTTTTATTTCTGTAAACATCGTACATTCTCCAGCCATTCTTTCCTCGTCATTAGTAAGCATTAGTATAGTTGTATTTGTATTTGCCTGGAGATCGTGATATCCGCCATTGTGTTATCCGGAGTTTGAATTAACCAATCAAAGACCCTCGTTGTAATGTATATCGCAACAAAAAGTCGAACTTTATGTTGCCTATCATAGATATTCTTCTGTCGGAACGAAAGGAAAATATGATTTTAAGCTAAAATTAAGAATTCTGACTAATAACAAGTACAGTCAAAACATCAAAATAAAATTCACCTGTTCCTTAACCACCACCTCCATTTCACTTAATTGCGAGAGCCCTATTCCGCCGATAACTAACAACTTAATTTTCTCCCCTCTCTCTCTCTTCCATTATTTCCGAACAGTAATTCTTCCGGTCATTTACAAGCAGTGTCGTATTCAGTGAAAGGGAGACTACTGCAATGAAATTCAGTTTGACGAGCTTATAAAATTCAACCGCATTATGACAACTTAATAACTAGTCCACACAGCCATCGCATCAAGTCGCGTGTACATATTTGTTTTTCTTATGTTATATGTATAATGACTAGATACACAGTAACATATTCGACTAATTTGTATGCACAAGATGATACTTACGAGTATATCGTAATAGAGTACTCTTCTCGTTTAATGATGTACTCTTTGAATTCCGTAGTTGAATACAAGTAATAGAAAGAGCATCGAAACACGAGACTATCTGATTTGTACGAGGGGGCGAAGAAAAGTCCCCAACCTATGATACAATAACAACTTACCCAGTGCATTGACGTCTGAGTGATACAAAGAGAAATATCCAAATTTCCTACTTTATAATTTAACCTTTTATATGATTGATATTATATTGCAATTTATATTTTTTTACATTTATTTCACCATCTGTTACTGTATAAACATATTATAATTAAGTATACTATTTTTTTATTATTGAACTATCTTTTGTTATATTGTACGGAAGAGCATTAGTGCCAGGTGTATGTTTTTTATTAACTCGAAATTTCGAGTTACTAACTCGAAATTTCGACTTACTAACTCGAAATTTCGACTTACTTATCTCGAAATTTCCAGTTACTAACTCGAAATTTCGACTTACTAACTCGAAATTTCGACTTACTAACTCGAAATTTCGACTTACTAACTCGAAATTTCGACTTACTAACTCGAAATTTCGACTTACTAACCCGAAATTTCGACTTAGTAACTCGAAATTTCGACTTACTAACTCGAAATTTCGAGTTACTTATCTCGAAATTTCGACTTAGTAACTCGAAATTTCGACTTATTAACATTACAAGAATGGCCAAAGTTATTTTAGATGGTATAAGATATAGTAGGCAGTGCCTTTGAACGATGGAGATGGAGAAACGGGTGCCTGGACAAAAACTATTGAAATTTAACTTAAACTTAGTAATGGCATGTACACACCCGACATAAAAAATACAAGGCTTCCTTTAATTTGTACGTTCAGGCGTTCTTCAGACGTTGTATTGTATCCCATCTGTTCGAACATATCTTTTCACTAATCATATTCTTCTCATCCCTGTAAAAAAACCGATCCTATACTTTACGTGTGGGACATCTGAGGAAAGTATCGCGGCGTGGCCGAAATAGGGCGTGCTGAGGCCTTTGTCAAAATTGTTGGACTGACTATATTTCTTGTAAAATCGGATGCTAAAATTATATTGTTCCCAACATATATATTATAACAAGTATCACTTTTATCAACTTTTATCAACACAATATGAATCAAAGTATTAGTAAATAATGAATAATGTTACAAAAACATTATTAGTATAAACAAACGTGACAGACTAACTGGCCTATACACGTCATTTAAAACTTATTTAACAGTTTACAATAGGGTGGGTTTTGGACTTGTTGTTTCTCCATATGATGGTTGTATGTGTGCTTAAGAAAAAGAAACACCCTGTTAACACGGAAATGTGGAAAGTGTGAATTTACACCCCCCCCCCCCTCCACAAAAAAGCGAAGGATATGTTCAGTATGTGTGGACAATTTGACCCTATAAAATTGTTCTGTTAAATAAATGTTAAAGGTGCTCTGTCAATGTGCAACAACTACACACGAAAGAAAGTATCTTGAATTCAATCCTTGCTTTCACCGGCAACCAATGAAAGTCGTGCAATGTAAGTCGAAATTTCGAGTTACTAAGTCGAAATTTCGAGTTACTAAGTCGAAATTTCGAGTTAGTATGTCGAAATTTCGAGTTACTAAGTCGAAATTTCGAGTTAGTAAGTCGAAATTTCGAGTTAGTAACTCGAAATTTCGAGATAAGTAACTCGAAATTTCGAGTTAGTAAGTCGAAATTTCGAGTTAGTAAGTCGAAATTTCGAGTTAGTAAGTCGAAATTTCGAGTTAGTAACTCGAAATTTCGAGATAAGTAACTCGAAATTTCGAGTTAGTAAGTCGAAATTTCGAGTTAATAACTCGAAATTTCGGGTTAATAAAAAGCATACACCTGGCACTAATGCTCTTCCGTAATATTGTCACAACATATGCTGTATCTGTATTGAAATGTCTAATAATAAAAGAATAAATAATGAAGTCTTAGTTGATTATCAAGATATATACCTTTCACGTAATTATTTCTGAAAATATCAGACTGAGAAACAATTGTAGATTATTTCTAAAACAATCAATCCGCATACATGTATATATAGTTTTTTTCATCAGTTTTTAACCTGTCAATATTTGTAAAGCATATATCGCTCCTGTTATTTGAACTTAACAAACGAAAGTCAAACGACTATTAAAATTTACAGTCTGTCCCTTTTACTTTCAGTACGGAGCCAACAGGATGCTTGATGTTTCTTCAAAGTAAGAATCTTCTTTCATGAAGTTAAGCTAACTTTTTGTCGAGGATGATAATCTTTTTGTACGTTTGGTGTACGTTTATCATGTCCTCCTTCGTACTCCAAGTTGTTAAAAAAAATCAGGAGAAGTTGTAATCCCTCGGAAGCATTAAGCACAACAAAAAATATATGAAAATTGCAGACTCGGTTTGATTTAGTCTGTACACGAGGGGAAATGAAAAAAATGCAACATCTCTCACGCCACCTAGCATAGGACTTTATCAGTGTCGGATAAATTATAATAAATATAAAGAATAAAAACCATATAACTAAAATGATACGAGTGTTTATATTATATAACCCAACCGCGGAATATAATGTCTATACGAACCAAAAAAGTATAGTTTTCTCATAGTTTATTAGAAAAAAATGACAATAATACAAAATACAAAATTAAAAAACATGATTAAAATGATTTTAATGAAAACATCATCTGCGAGAGCATGTATATACATTATTATGCAAAAAGTGCATATTATAAAACGAGATAAAAAGTAGACAACGATCAAACTGGATTTTCACATATATGACAAATGAAATGAGCCGTGTTACGACAAAACCAACATAATGGGTTTGCGACAAGCATGGATCCGCGCAGTCTGATCAGGATCCATGCTGTTCGCTATCAGTTTCTTTACTTGTTATAGGGTATGTAAGCGAACAGCATGGCTCCTGATCAGACTGCGGGGATGCGAAGGCTGGTCTGGATCCATGATGGTCGCAAACCCATTATGTTGGTTTTGTTGTGACACGGCCAAAATAACAAATGAGATCAACATATCCAATATGTTTAAAGTAATACAAAAAAGTATGAAAACTATAAATCATACAAATTAAAGTACATGTATAATACATTAATTCAACATTTTGTAAGTAACCTTTTTTAAAACAAACTCACATAAATATTATTATCATGAATGGCTTTGTGCTGGAATAAGCAAATAAATGTATATCAGATAGAAAATACACGAACTTATAAATTATTTACAATCTCAATTAATCAATCAGAAAAACAATGTCTTCATTTTTTGTTTGTTTAGTGACAAACTAAAAATTCGCTATTCTTAAACTACATAGACAGTTAGTACCATTTTCCCGACGGGGGAACGTGATTCTAGAATAACCAATTACATATAGCCTTAATAAGACTGTGTGCTTAACCCTCCTAAACATGTAGTAGCAATGAACAAGTCAAAATCATCTAATTTTTTTACCAGATTTTAAAATGTTCCAGCTATCTGCAGCCAAAGAATACAATGATTAAAGAAATCTTAAAATACTGCACGTTTGTAACTTCGCTTTTTACTGAATAATCAAGACTTTTTAAAAAAAATGCTATACACGGCTGCCCAAAATGTATATTGTACATAAATTCCAGTTTCCTTATAAATAGTCTAGACAGATTATATGGCCGTAATAAAATGGATGTTTGTAATGTAATACTGGAACATATAACCATGCAGTTAAAGGTCTTCATAATTAACAATACACATATATTTTGCACAGATCTTCTAATCGTTTTTTAAGTCCAAAGAATTTTGATAATGTATTTCCCCAACATAATAATCGTAAAGACATAGTTTCTCTTCTCTTATCTATGGTTAAAAAAGATATGCCAAGCTCTGTTGAAGGTATGTAGCCAAAACGTTTACATTAAATGATTACTATATTCCGTGTTTATAATGCGGCTTGTTTGTTTATCTTATCCACGTTTTAGAATTCTTAAATGTACCATATCAACATTTTAAAATTAATTTTCTGATATTTGTTCGAGGAACATATGATCAGCCATTTTGTCAGGCCAATTTTGATGTTTAGACAATACATCACATCTTAATAAAGCTATGTACGTATGTCTGTGCGTATGTGTTATTGGCCCGGATGAGCACGTGCTGCGGCAATTTGAATTTTGATTTGTTTCCCGCTTTCATTTTTTGAACCTTCTGTCAGCCTGAAAAATAAGAATCAAAGTTTCTTTTAAAAATGATACAGCACTTTTCAGAATTCGAACGAGACACTACCACTACTCACTGTAATATAAGCTGTTACCGGTCATATTTAACAATAATTGCTTTATAAAACAGTCTTGGCCATACTGTGGTGCTCCGACTTTAATTTAGAAATTACATCGTTTAGAATATTCATTTTCTTCATCTCTTAATATCGATGTATTTGTATTGTTTTTCTTCGAAAATATCAAAATGTTCCATATATGTTATCCCCACTATATGGATGAACAAGATTTTATTGCTTTGCTGGATAAGAAGTATCACTCACCTCCACCAATTCACCAATGCAATATTTGTCCAACATGCCGTAAGCAACTGCAGAGTGACCTTTGGACTCAAATGATATTGTTGCGTCACATCCGGCGTGTTCAAACATAATCTCTGCACCACCAGGGTGCTACAATATTCAGAGACATGAGATAAATTACTCGTTTTAGTCAATTTTATGTTTTAATTATTTTTGCCACTACGTAACTTATTAAGACCATTATGATAAAAAATCTTAATATGAAAAGAAAGGAATTTTAATTTGTTTAAAAAAAAACAGACAAACAAAACAAATACAAAAAAAAACAACAATAAATAATAAAAAAACAACAAACAAAACAAAAAAACTCAGATACAGGGGCAAACCGGATGTATACAGAACACATTCACAGAATCAGGGTATATATCAGCTACCAGGATTTTGTATTAACCGCTACATTTTGGTAGCCTGTTATATGTAATTCAGCGCGTAAGATTATAAATCGAGCTTAAAATTTCAATAACTACTTAAAATGAAAATGGCTTGAAATTAATAGTTGTAAGACAGATGAGTTGACACCACTGTCTTAATCTATTCCGTGAGATTTTATTAAAATAAAAAAAATGTATCAATGGTCTCGGTAATCATTTAAGATTTACTTCATTGAGAACAAATGAGCCGCGTCATGACAAAACCAACAAGGCTGGTCTGGATCCATGCTGGTCGCAAACCCATTATGTTAGTTTTGTCATGTCGCGGCACAAATGGATTTTTTGCATTCATTATGCAAAGCATACACTCTTCTTTCTTTTTCGTATACTCAGCTTCTGCAATATGCGATCTTCAAATAACAAAAATACATATATACTAGCCTGTTCTCAGGATTAAATAGTTTATTTTTTCTGAATACATTGCAATGAGGGCTCGATAAAGAATGTCTGCATAAGCCAACCTCAGCCAACAAATGCGATATCTACCGTCTAAGAGCATTAAAATTTTATAACGATTTAACGCATAAGCTACATTTTCAGCAAATGAATTCGCTGGGCGGTATTCATTTTAATCAAATACAGTTTTCACGTACGTTTTTATCATTTTTTAAAATGTTATTTTTAGGTTCGCCTTCTGATATGGCTACCTCATATCTGCACATGCTAGACTCTATTGGGGATTCCCATGACAAGTGCAATATTAGTGGGAAATACTTTAAAATTTAACTTATGTTTTAACTAAACCATGGTTGATTGAGCGCAGCCTTCTCCTCCAATCGCAACTTTTCGGCCCTTTCCGTCAGTCTTCGGATAAGGACCTCGAACACAATAGTATGAGTCTAACCTACGCTAAGAAACTAGACATGTAAACAAATAGTATTTTTATGCTTGGAATAGTTGACAAGTTTATTTCCAATAAATCAAGTAAAAGTCCACCTAATTAAAGTGAATTCATAGATACAAAAGCAAACAATTCAGTATTTATATATTTATTAATAGGGTTGTAGAAACGGAAAGTACGAAATGACATCAAGTCGGATTTGATTAAAATTGTACATCATTGGGTATTTTATAATTAAAAAGTGTTGTACATGTTTTCAATCATAACTGTACCGAAACATACTTTATTTTCCTTTGGATACAATATATACATTCTTTTTACATTATACACACTGTTTCTGTTTACATCAAGAACCACGTGGTAGAACTACTTTCAATCCGTATTGTTTTCGAGGTTATTCTAGATAACAACCGAGGACGTTCCGATTGCCTTTTCCTCCACATTAATCAATAACTTTTTTAATTGATTAATATGATCCGACTGTAACGTAACGATTTTGCTTAATGCAAACATTTATTACGACAAAATAGGCAAGTAAGAAAAGTCAAAATTTACTCACGAGGGATAAGAAATCTGTGACGTCATAAACTTTGTCAGACAGTACTATCCAGCAAGAATGGACGTCACAATGACTTGCAACATCTTCCATTTTGAACTGTATACACGACATGCTACGTCGGAATATTTTATCAATTCCTGTTCCCTAAATGTTAGAAAATGATAAATAACATTCTACCACAAAAGTGCTGTTAAAGTTTATAAAGATATTTGAATATTTGTTATACAATTTGGAACGTAAAGATTACGTTCTTGTGGACAAGGTTAGATCTTGATCTGTCAATCAACTGGACGTGTACATACATTTAAGTTAAGCTGCCAATTTTTTACCCACTCCCGGTTAATACCTTTGTATTTGTATGTAAGATTTATATTTTATCGTTTGTTTAAAGTAAAAGACAAATCTGACTTTACAAAGGGCTAAATAATCAGTAACTGCTTAATTGCTAATTACGTTGCTTTGATTTTAAAAACATAAGCTGTAATCTGACGTCAGTAATTTACATGTCATCAACCTAAATTGATTTCAGATCTTGTTCAATGTGACTTCAACTTTGTGTTATTCATGTTTGACAAAAAAGACCTTATATATATAAATAAATAAATAAATAAATAAATAAATAAATAAATAAATAAATAAATAAATAAATAAATAAATAAATAAATAAAATATAATAAAATAAATTCACAAATAGAATTAAATTATTTAATTCTTTTTAATTAATTTATTAATTAATTTAACACTGATTATTTTTATTAATCAATTAATTATTTTTTTGATTAATTGATTTATCCTTATGAATGAATAAATAAATAAATAAAAAAATAAATAAAAAAATAATTAATTAATTAGTTAATTATTATATATATTATATATTATAAATAAATTAATTAATTAATTAAAAAAATAATTTATTGATAAAACAAACAATGATGATGATGATGATGATGATGATGATGATGATGATGATGATGATGATTAAAAAATCTAAACTTGTGTCACAAAAAATTGGTAATACATAACCTGATAAACCGTAATATAGACATATATATATGTATATACAGTGTCGTATACTACTTTACCTTAGTAATGTTATCTAGCACGTGGTTTATGAGTTCCATTTTTGTTCTGGTCGTTTCCTTAAGATTTTCCTCTTTAAACAACTTGTTCCCAAATATATAATTTGCTGGTCCTTTCAGGTCCTTAATATTTATCTGTATAATTATACCGTTACTTACACCTGAAAAAATGTTACACACTTTTAATTCCTTTTAAAATTAGACTTGCCGAATTGTCCAGTAACACAAAATTCGTGGTATGCTTCTAGAAAAGCTTCTTGATTTATCCGGTGATAAGGTTAAAACTACAATAATTTTGTTTTGAATGTACTTTGTAATTATAAAAATCCTTGTTTCATATAACTATTAAGTGAAATGCTTAGTAGCGAAATTCGGTTTCAAAATTATTTTAAATTTCCCTTTTTTTCAGAATTTTTTTTAACTTATTAAAAATATGTTCGCAAAAAATCAAATAGTCACTTGATTTTAAATGAAATCCAAAGGAATTTTTAAAAAACAAAATAATATGATAATCTACGAGGTATGTTCATTTTACAGCAAACAAAATACCTTGTCACATTAAAAAAAAGCACGACGAAAAAAAGGCCAAACCCTTCTAAAACAAAATCACGCCTCTTAAGTATTCGATTTAGTAAAAAAACCAAAAAAACTTCAACATACATAATCTTATTTTTGAAAAAACCATTTGTTTCGAAATTTTCGGATTATTGATAAAACTGCATTATAACAGTATTATTTTTGTGTTTACATATTCAATTTTAAAATTGTAAATTAAACTAACAAAATAATATTCAAAAAATTTGTTTTGGGGAACTTAATAAACATTAATGATAAGAACTTAAGTGTACTGGTAAAATAATAATAAATTAGTTTGTTAATGCGATTGAATATTAAACGAAACTATTTGATGCTTAAAGTACAAATTAGATCTACGGAAGCGTTTTAAGGCCGTTAAGCATATTAGTGGAATCAATCTTAGTGTCGAAAAAAAAAAAATAATTAATCACTAGTACAACCATTTCTGAAAACTTAAACTGCAAAAATATCTAAGAAAAATAATGCAAAAAAAAACAAAAGATATCATTTATTTATCTTTGTTGAATTTAAATTAAAGTACGCTGTTTTCAGTTTTCTATTTAATCTTCTTTTTTACAAAGGTATAAATACACATTATTATGAAGTTCGTTGTAATTGTAATTCTAATTAGGATATTTAATTCTATTAAACCATATCTCGTGTAAAATACTCGTAAAGACTGGCGTGTTAGTATGATCTATGAAATAGGTAATGTCACATGGCAACGCACGTGATTATTCATAACGTTTTAATATAATAATGCCATTTCGGTATTTGGTTATAAACACATCATTTCAACTTTAATGTGTGTGTTTAGATCGGATAGATTTTTTAATCAAAATAACTGACAGTCTAAGCAGCGCATATGTCGTCTGCTAGTGTACTGTTAGCGATACAAATTGAGGTTCGTATAAGCTTCCGTAGAAAATAAATGTGACCGCAATTTCTGACCGACATTTATTCTACTGCGTTTATTATAATTCTATCGCAGGGAAAACCATATACATTATATTTATTACCTTAAACCCCATTAAATTTATAAAATGAACTTGTCCATATTTTATTCTGGACAAAACCATTCTTCAATTTAGGGAAATTTTCCAAAATAAGAACTGACCAAATAGCGAACAGTGAAGATCATGACAAGTCGACATGGGTGTGGTCTGTGCCAGATAATGTTGGTCAGCTCTTGTTGCGTATGTAATATCAGTTGACGACAGCAGTAAAAGGTTTCAAATAATTACTTTATTTTAAACGAACTCCACTGAGGTCCAAAATCCTTAAACATACATAAAATATTTCAAACATATATCAACTTGGACACTTAAAACAGAAAGATATGCAAAATATACTTAAGAAATGTACTCAGAAATGAATTGATTTTTTTTTTGGTGCTATTTTAAGCCCGATTTTAGTAAAAATGGTTTGAACGGTTTTCAAACTGGGTCATTTTTTACAATTTAAATACATGTAATTAGTATGGAAAAACAGCGAAAGCTAATGATCTGAAATTTTTCACATAAATTATTGGTTTAGACCTATAAAAATTTCAAGGAATAATTTCCAGTCCCGAAATGTTAAAAAACCTCAGTGAGCTCCCTTTAATTGTTAAATCAGTTAGCTTTTCCAAAACAGAATTCTTAAAATGATTTAATAAAAATGACATCTTACCATTAGATTATCCAATCAATTTTGAATTTAAACAATTTATTCTTGAATAGCTCACAATTTTTTTTTTTTTTTTTTTTTTTTTTTTTTTTTTTTTTTTTTTTTTTTTTTTTTTTTTTTTTTTTTTTTTTTTCTTTTTTTTTTTTTTTTTTTTTTTTTTTTTTTTTTTTTTTTTTTTTTTTTTTTTTTTTTTTTTTTTTTTTTTTTTTTTTTTTTTTTTTTTTTTTTTTTTTTTTTTTTTTTATTTTTTTTTTTTTTTTTTTTTTTTTTTTTTTTTTTTTTTTTTTTTTTTTTTTTTTTTTTTTTTTTTTTTTTTTTTTTTTTTTTTTCACTATCAACTTCATTAAATAAAATGAAATTTATTATTGTTTGCTTAAATTTTATTCAGTTATGAGAGACATAATTTGCACACAGAAAATATGTGGCTGTTAGTTGAAATGTCACTTTATATAACATTATTTAGTGTACAAAAGTCATCCTATACGAATTTTTTAACTAATGCTTTTTTGTACAAATACATAAAAAAATATGTATGTGAGAGTTCAGCATGAACAGTGAGTAAAAAAAAGGTTTTCCAATTTATATGGGGAAGGAAATTTATTTCTGAAATCCCTTCAGCTTTTTTGACATCTAGCAGGGCATTTTTTAAAATTTTTGGTAAAAATGCTCTGCGCAATACCAGCTTTTTTGACAATCTAGCAGAGCTTTTCCTGTTTTAGTAAAAAAAATGTTTGGGCGGGGAACGCCCCAGCTGGTAGGCAATCTGAGTGCTTTAAAAAATTAGTGTTAAAATGCTTTTGCGGGAAATGCTAAGCTGGCTAGGCAATTCTAGGGGACATTACTAAATTAGTGAAAAAGCTATTTGGAATGCTAACCCTGGCTGGGGAAATCTAGGGGGACTTTACTAAATATGTGTACAAATGCTCTGCTGAATCCCTAACCCTGGTGGGGCAATCTAAAAGGGCTTACTAAATTAGGGGAAAAAAATGCTCTGCGGGTTTGCTAAGCTGGCTGGGCCCAACCCTGCGGGGCTTCCCAAAATTAGTAAAAAAAATTTTGCTTTTGCGGGAAAAGGGCAAAGCGGTAGGAAATCTAGCAGAGAAATTACTAATAAGTGAAAAAGTTTCCGGGAAATGCTAAGCTGGCTAGGAATCTAGAAGAGCTTTTACAAAATTTTGTGAAAAAATTTGCTTTTCGGGGAATGCTAAGCGGGCCCTAGGCAATCTAGCAAGTTTAAAAATTTTTAGTGAACAAATGCTTTTTTTTGGGAATGCTAACGGGGCCTAGGCAATCAAAGCGGGGCTTTACAAAAATTATTTGTAAAAATGCTCTGCTGGCTAGGCCCAATCTAGCGGGGTATTGGCTAAATATAGTGTAAAAATGCTCTGGGAATGCTAAGCTGGCTAGGCAATCTGGGCAGGCATTACGAAATATAGTGTAAAAATGCTCTGGTGGATGCTAAGCTGCTAGGCAATTTCTGGCAGGCATTAGAAAATAAAGCGAAAAAATGCTCTGCTGGAATGCTAAGCTGGCAAGGCAAATCTAGCAGGGCCCATTACTAAATTATAGTGTGAAAATTTGCTCTGCTGGAATGCTTAGCTGGCTAGGCAATCTAGGGCAGGACATTCCTAAATATAGTTGTAAAAATGCTCTGCTGGAATGCCTAAGTTGGCTAGGCAATTAGCAGAGCATTCGAAATATAGTGTAAAAAAATGCTCTGCTGGAATTTGCTCAAGCTGGCTAGGCACTATAGCAGAGCATTCTTAATATAGTGAAAAAATGCTCTGGTGGAATGTCAACTGGCTAGGCAATCTAGCAGGGCATTTCTTAAATATGGATTTGTAAAAATGCTCTGGTGAAATGCTAAGCTTGCTAGGCAATCTAGCAGGGCATTCCCGAAATATAGTTAAAAAATGCCCCCTGGTGAATGCTAAGTTGGCCCAGACTAATTCTGAGTTCCAGGATTTATTGTTGCCAAAGTTGGTATTGACATTTTCGACTTCTAGGCAATTCTGAGGCACTCGCAGACTTTCATGTATTTTCCGGTGCCAAATTAGAAATAATGATTATTTTTGACTTCTAAGGGCCCTTTTAGAGACTATTTCATTGTCCTGCCCCGACTTTTGAAGGACACTCGCAGCTTTCAGGAAAAACTTTGGTGCCAATGCTGATAACTATGACAACTTTAAGACTTCTTGGGACCCTCAAGAGTCCATTTTTGGTGTCTGCGATTGATTTCTTGGAACTTCGGCAGACTTTCAGGAATGGTTTTGGTGGCCAATGGAAAATAATCATATTTTTGACTTCTAGGGACATTTAAGAGTCCATTTCAGTTGGCCTGCAGCGTATTTTGGACATTCGTAGACATTCAGGGAAAGTTTGGTGCAATAGAGATGATGGCAAATTTTTACTTCTACGGACCCCGCCGAGTCCATTTTTATGGTCTGCGACTGATTCTGGGACATTCGCAGACTTTTAAGGAATCCTCTGGTGCCAATGGAGATAATGACATTTTTGGACTTCTAGCGGACCCACCAGAGTTCATTTTCGCTGGTCTGACGTGATTTTGGACACTTGCCGACTTTCAGGAAATTTTGGTTGGCCAATGCTTGATATTGACAATTAAGACTTCTAGGGACCCTCAAGAGTCCATTTTGGTCGTCTTGCGACTGATTCTTGGACACTCGCAGACTTTCAGGAATGGTTGGTGCCAATGGAAATAATCATATTTTTGACTTCTAGGGACATTTTAAGAGATTCCATTTCATTGGCCTGCCAGCGTATTGTTGGACATTCGCCAAACTTTCAGGAAAGTTTCGGTGCCAATAGAGATGAGGGCAATTTTTACTTCTTAGGGACCTGCCGGAGTCCAATTTTAATGGTCTGCGACTGATTCTGGGACATTTCGCCAGACTTTCAGGAATCTCTGGTGCCTATGGAGATAATGACATTTTTTTGACTTCTAGCGACCCACCAGAAGTTCATTTTCGCTGGTCTGCGACTGATTTTGGGAAACTTGCAGACTTTCAGGAAATTTTGATGCCAATGGAGATGAATGACATTTTTGACTTTTAGCGGATCCGCTAGAGTACATTTTCTTGGGTCTGCGACTGATTCCTTGAGACTCGCAGACTTTTCAGGATGTTTAGTGCCATTGCAGATTTTCATGACTTTTTTAATTTTTAAGGACCCCTTAGTTATAAGCAGAGCATTTTTACCTAAAATGTCATTATCTGCATTAGCACCAAAAAATCCTGAAAGTCTGCAAGTGCCCAATAATCAGTCGCAGACCACGAAATTGACTCTGGATGGTCAAAAAATGTCATAAATTGTAATTATCTCTATTTGGCACCAACAATTTCCTGAAAGTCTGTGACTGTCAAAGATTAAGTCGCAGACCAAAAAATGGACCCTGGATGGTCCCTAGAAGTAAAAAATGTCATTATCTGCCTTGACATAAATAAATTCCTGAAAGTCTGTGAGTGCCTCAGAATCAGTCGCTGACCAAAAAAAATGGATTCAGAAAGGTCCAATAAGTCAGAAACATCATTTTCTGCATTGACACCAAAATTCCTGAAAGTCTGCGAGTGACTCAGAATCAGTCGCAGACCAACGGAATAGACTCAGAGGGTCCTTTTGAAGTAAAAATGTCATTATCTCCATTGGCACCGAAAAATTTCTGAAAGTCTGCGAGTGTTCTAAAAAACATTCGCAGACCAACGAAATGGACTCTGGATGGTCCTAAAATTTACAAATGTCATTATTGCATTAACACCAAAAATTCCTGAAAGTCTCTGCGATCGTCCAGAATCAGTCGAGACCAAAGAAATAGACATTAAGGGTCCCGTAGAAGTAAAAAAATGTCATTATCTGCATTGGCACTAACTATTTTAGAAAGTCTACGAGTGCCAAATAATCAGTTGCAGACCAACGAAATTTATACTTTATTTAAGAATGTCCTGCTTGTTTGCCTAGACAGCTCAGCATTCCGTCAGTACATTTTTACACTAATTTTCAGAATGCTTTGCTGGATTGCTTAGCCAGCTGAGCATTTTAAACACTATATTTTAGGAATGCCCTGCTAGATTGCTTAGCTAGCTGAGCATACCAGCAGAGCATTTTTCGCACTATATTTTGGAACGCTCTGCTAGATTGCTTACCCAGCTGAGCTTGCCAGCAGAGCATTTTTACCACTATATTTAGGAATGCTCTGCTGGATTGCCTAGCCAGCTGAGCATTTTTAACACTATATTTAGGAATGCCTTCTAGATTGCCTAGCCAGCTGAGCAATTCAGCAGAGCATTTTTACACTAAATTTTGGAATGTCCCGCTAGATTGCTTAGCCAGCTGAGCATAACAGCTAAGCAATTTTTACACTATATTTAGGAATGCCCTGCTAGATTGCCTAGCCAGCTGAGCATACCAGCAGATCATGTTTACACTATATTTTGGAATGCCCCGCTAGATTGCTTATCAAGGGAGCATAACAGCAGAGCATTTTTACACTATATTTCGGAATGCCCCCCTAGATTGCTAAGCCAGCTAAGCATAACAGCAGAGCTTTTGACACTATATTTTGGAATGCCCCGCTAGATTTGCTTAGCCAGCTGAGTATAACAGCAGAGTATTTTTACACTATATTTAGGAATGCCCTGCTAGATTGCCTAGCCAGCTGGAGCATACCAGCAGAGCATTTTTTTACACTATATTGGGGAATGCCCCGCTAGATTTGCTTAGCCAGCTGAGCATAACAGCAGAGCATTTTTACACTTTATTTTGGAATGCCCCGCTAGATTGCTTAGCCAGCTGAGCATAACAGCAGAGCTTTTTATACTATATTTTGGAATGCTCTGTTAGATTGCCTAGCCAGCTGAGTATAACAGCAGAGTATTTTTTACACTATATTTAGGAATGCCCTGCTCGATTGCCTAGCCAGCTGAGCATCCAGCAGAGCATTTTTACGCTATATTTTGGAACACCCCGCTAGTTGCCTAGCCAGCTGAGCATATATACCAGCAGAGCATTTTTACACTATATTTAGTAATGGCCTGCTAGATTGCTTACCAGCTGAGCATACCAGCAAAGCATTTCTACACTTTATTTTGGAATGCTCTGTTAGATTGCTTACCCAGCTGAGCATAACAGCAGATCATTGATTTCCCTATATAAATCGAAATGCCTTTTTGCTTAGCTCACTGTTAACTGCTAACTTCTCACATACAAAAAATATTCACGAAGTATTTGTTTAAGAGTAACATTCAAAAGGTGTTTTAAAAACCAAGAATTTAACTTTTTTTAAAGGCCATGATAATGGATGAGTAAATTGAATGTGATTTTAAAATATTTAAATCTTATGCAATCAGCAAATTATTCCCTGTAAATTCTTCCAAGAAACATCCGAAGTTAGACAATGTACGTTAAATAGCAAACCCTAAATTTTAAAATTTATTGCCACTTAAAAATTATTTTACATCTCATTTTTTGTTTTTTTGATATAATTTTATCAATTTTTATGTATTGGGGTTTTTTGTATAAATTTGGTTTTTTCGGGGCACCAACACAGTATAGGTTTTTATGGCCCGGAATGGATGATGATTTTTAACCCCAAAGGGGTTTTTGGGAATTAAAAAAAAAAACCAGGGGGCAAAAACCACCTCCCTGCTGGAGCTAAGAGATCGTGGACTCAAAATTAAAATAGAACCCATTTATTGCCCCTTGGGGATTTAAAACAGGGATAAACGGGGGTTCGATTCTTATGCCTAAAAATTAAAGGGAACCCCCCCCCCCAAGGTATTTTTGTATTTTTGAAAAAACTGAAAAACGGGCTTTATTTCTTCTTATGATTTTGTGTAAAATGTAGATAGCTTGTCCTCATAGTTGAAGATTATTTTCTAAAAGTGTTATACCAGCAAAGTTCCACTTCGGTATCAGCCATCAAGGTTCCACTGTTTGCATTTATCATGCTTGTTTAAACATGTATTAATTAATTACAAAATATGTCATGAATCATTTATTCTATTTTGATATTTGATTTGTAAATCATACCTATCAGAAATGATAAGAAACAATCATTCAAAGAACAAGAATTAAACTTCTTTCTTTATTTACATTGTTGTTTAACAATCATATTTATAATACTTATAAATCTTAAATACATAATCTTGAATATATGAAAGAGACAAAATATATTACAAAAGTCTTTAAAATATGATACAAATAAATGAACGTCCGAGAAATGACGAGAAATGACGAGAAATAACGACTGTGTCTAGTTTTCCCGCGCAAAATTACGTTCTTCGCTGAAAAGCTAATAATAAGACATGCAGTGAAGATGAAATTTGAAAGACTTGAATATGCAACAAAAATATCGAATGTTTTGATTGTCTTTTTCAAGTTATAAATCTGAAGAAATGTATGGAATCACTTGATCATGAAAAAAAGAGAATTATTTAGGGAATACAGGAAGTCAGTCCATCAAATGAAAGGGCTGTTGCGTATATAGACCGAGGTTACTATAGTGAAAATATTATCATATAAAGCTATCAAATACTATGTGCTATTAGTATTATATTTATGAAGCTATATAATTCGGCACATTAGAGGTATTTCAAGTATAGGCAGTAAAATGTTAAATACTGATTATTTACGTCATGACATAATATTGCGAACAAAATATTTTCACGAACTTCAGTTGGATATGTTAACATCCGAACACTAGCTCTGCCACAATACGTGTTTATCCTGCATGTCAATAGTCCTAGATCATGGATCTCGGCTACACATTCTCAACGGCTAGTGTACAGTACTGATTCCCAGTCTTTTTAGCACAACGTAGAATAAGTCCAGTTTTAGAGTCATCTTCAACCATTTCCAGAAATGCTGCTGATATTTCTTCTACGCTGAAAAAAAATATTGTAAGTTTAAAGCATTAAACATAACACTATCACAGCATTATTGTCATTTATTTCATAAAACGATGAACTTTCAGGGTTCGAACAATGTGGTATCTCAATATGAATTATTTTAGGTAATTTAATCTAATTAACATAGACACGTTTTCGTTTTACCAGTCGAAAACAATTCATATTAAGTCACTATTGTACTCAATTAAGCATCGTTTTCATTTTTAGAGTCCAAAATCCATATCAAAATACATATTGTAGCAGCAAAGTTCTGTCAAAATATCAAAATAATTGCTTTTAAATAAACAGATCATTATTCAGTACATTGTCGAGTTAAATACTGACTCTTTTAGACGAGAACACAGCTATAATACCTATATAAAGCTCTATTAGCACCTCGTTCAATAAAACTTTGACATCTGTGTACTCTTCTAAAACAATTTGATATTGTACTCAATAATGTTAATAACTTAATAGAATAACCGTATTTTAATTATAATACCTATCCATATTAAAATTATAATAAGTTCGTTTCATGTCCGGTTCATATGACATCAGGAGAGACAAGGAGTGACTCTTTCTTGGGTTCGTTATAAATATTTTACTTTAATTATCTTATTTCTATAGCTTACGTCATAACTCCTATATGATCTATGAATGCTTTTACTTTGACCATATCTGCTCCTATAAACTGGTCACTGTCCCCGGATGATAGATTTTGAAACATGGGCGTGTCTACAAATGCTGGACATAACACCATTAGCCTGATACCTGATTTAACTGCTGCCTCTGAAATCTATAAATTATAATGTCATTTATTGTCTTGTTTTCAATGACCTTATTTGAATGTTTTCTCTATTTCTTTTATTCAAAGGCTTACATTAGTCATATTGTTATTATAATTAGACCACAGGCACTTGATGGCAAAAGCGATTTTTTTATTTGTTTTCTTTTTGGTCGACTACTGGTTGTGACTACCCGACGTGATTTTTATAAACTTATAATCTATAGCACACAAACTTATCAAATAAATAAAAAAATATACCGACAAAACGTCATTTACATTTTTTAGATATATCTACTGTGTGTATATAAGTAACTTAAGTGTTACAGATAAAAAATCATAAACATCACGGCGGGTAGTCGGTCACAACGGGTAGTCGACCAAAACAACTTTTTTGCCATCTAATGCATTTGGATAAGACACCGATATTCGTGAAGGTATTTAGTTTGAGGAGAACAATTCTTAACTTCACCACTAGAAATTGCAGACATCATGTCACTGCTATAAAATATTTAGATTTCTTCAGAATTTATAATGAGTTAAACTTGTCGAGTAGGAAACAAATCATCGCATACCGCATAACATCTTGTTGCATGGACAATTCCAGCCTTTGAACACCCGTATGTTGGTGAGAATGGATTTGGATTGATTCCTGAAAAAAAAATCGTGTAAAATATTTGAAAACTAGAAAACTTATTATAGTATTTTTTTATTTTCATTGACAAGTGAAATTATTATAAAAATTGAAAATTACAGAGATAAACTTGATATTGCAGAATTATGTATCACTTCAACCGAAGTAAACATCTAAATAAATATAAATTTTGTCACAACATTACATAAACATCCATCATGACTAGTTTTTTCATCATGTGCTTACACATGTTCCTCTATCTTTGTCAATATGCGTGTGAAATGTTAGTTTGGAAGAATTATCAAATTTCTCTTCATCAAACGCAGGTAGTTTGCCCTTAAGAGTTTATCGATATGGAAAGAGGCGGAATATACCGAAATTTCACAAGTTAATGATTGATATATTTAATAAGTTTAGTCCAGCCTGACTTACCCGCTGCGCTCGCCATATTTACAATGATCCCTCCATTACCGCCATTATCTTTATTGAGGTAGTACATGCCAAGTCTGGTCCCTCTTATGGTCCCTTTCTGTCATATAACAAACAGACTTTAAAACAGACACCAGTCAAACATTAGATCTGTTGCTGTACTCTTATACTAACATTAATTAAAAAAGGAGGTTACGATGACTTTGTTGCTGAAATTCACGCTAGATTTCTAAACTGTTTACAGATGTAAATATTTGTTCCGGTAAGTATTCACGTAAGTGACGAATGAAATACAAGATAAAATAACAATGAATAATTTTATCTGCTCAAATTTTTATTTTGTGCATACATTAACTTTGGACGAATTATTTCAATGTCCTTTGGAAGATTGATCTGTTGTTTACATAAAACAAGTTTTCTCCTGACATTAATTCTATTCGTTTTAGAAATGCCTCTAACCGAGCATATATTTTCAAATTGTGGTCAATGAGAAAATAATCAATACCATGTTAACGTCAATGACGCTTTCCCATTTGTCGTCTGATTCTCCACCAATACCCGCGTTATTTACGACAATATCTATCCCGCCAAATTCTTCTTTCGTCCGCTTAAACGCCTCTGAAAAGAAAAGGTAAATATAAACTGAAATATTGTATTCCATTAATCATTGTCGCTTTTCATGTTTTTTATATACTGTAATGCAGATGTTAAGGTTTTTGTTTACATGTACAGTGTAACCTCGAACGAGAGACAGACCCCCTTTGGGATACAAAAAAGTTTGCTTTTTAGCGAGAGGTGTTGCTTAAAATGGGTTAAATTATTGTGAGGTTTTACTTCGGGAAGAATTGATACGGTTGTTTGAAAAAGAGGTGACTGCTCTACAGAGGGCCGCTTTATAGAGGTTGTACTGTAGACTGAGCTTCTGAGATTCATTAACTATAGCAACGTACTTATGTCGTAGTACAAACACTTGATTTCTTTCATTCGCAGTTTTAAATATGTTGAATAGTTTTCCAGTCAACGTTTTCATAACATCTTTCTTAGTCTGATTGATTCCAAATTACCCAATAAAACTCTGCCATTTTGACATAATTAAAACATTTAACAGCATTAGCATATTGCTTATATCAAACTCATTATTTTTAAATTATATCAAGAGTGTTCGTTATCATTTCATACTGCATTCTTATATCATAAACGATACATACTGAAGGAAACATCCGAAAAGCTTTTACCATTAATTAAGACGTTCAGAAAAAAGAGAGATATCAATTCTGCAGGAAATGATAATTTAGCAGACGGTAAAGTATGACATATTTCTTATAGATTTTCTACAAGATCTGGTTATGCTAAAAGATATACAATGGAGCTATTTTTCTGATAAAAGTCTGCATATTTCACTGATTTTTGCTTTAAGTATACGTACAAATGTTATATCAAAGTAAGCATCTTTAAGTAAGCATCGGAAACTGGGGTATTAATCAGTCAAAGCTACATTGATTGATTAGTAAAAAGTAAATAAAAACTTTAACGGAGCCATATATTTTCTATAATCGTATTTTCAATTTATAACATACAGCGTCAAAACTTAACGAACGCTGTATATTTCACTCAAACTATGACACGTTCAGTTTTTTCACGCTTTTTCCCGTTGATGATACATATGATTGCATGTGTCCTTGACACGAGTGAAAGCAGCAACTGTGAAAGTCACTTTCAAGCACTAGGCTTCATTTTGATAGATGTTATAGCAACATTTCCCAGAAACTTAGAAAGATATAAATCAAATACTTGAAAAACTTATAAAGGTAAATCTAAAAAAGAAGAAAAAAACATTACAAATCAGACATATGATTTATTTGACACTCACATTTTAAAATAAAGAGTTCCTATAATTCAATTGCTAGGTGAAATATGTTTGCAAAATGAAGACATGTATATTTATTCAAATCCGTATTTAAATGTGTCCGTGTTTGACAGTTTGGGAAAAAGATTGAAAAAAGTGAGAAAAAATCTTGAAATTCTTGTCTGCTGATACAGAAATATGTTTTGAAAAGTTTTGAAAAGAAAATTACTGCGCGCTTAAAAGATTTGGAATTTTTCAGTTAGAAAAGTACTTTTAAACAAGTTACCGCAAATTACAGTCAACCCGGCCCCAAGTTAACCCGGCCCCAAGTCAACCCGGCCTCAAAATTGGTCAACCCGGCCCAAAAATTGGTCAATCCGGCCCCACAGTATTTTTATTTGGTCAATGCGGCCCCAAAATTGGTCAGTGCGGCCCCAAAATCGGTCATTCCGGCCCCAAAATATATATTTTTCAAAGAAAACTATTTAAGTCATTTTGTTGTATGTCAGATACTATACGGCGATTACTTTAAAACCTTTTTGCTTGCATTTAAAAAAAAGAAATATGATAATCAGAAAAAAATCCAGATTACATAATATAAACTATAATTTTATACCTTCAAAATCTGTTTTAGATGTGACGTCACATTTACAGAAAATAGCTTTCCCTGCGCCATGTTTTTTGTTTAATTCAGCTACTGCTTCTTCTCCGCATTGACTGTTGAAATCCGCGACACAAACCTGAATCAAAAGTGAAAGATTTATCTATGAACGATTTTTTTTTCAGCCGGTGACTGTCTGATTTCAGCTTGACTTCGTAATGTATGTTAGAACTTTAATGTGGTGTGAAGATGATGTAAATAATGATTTAACAAAGGGATAATATATTCATGAAGAAAGGAAAAAAGTTATTGCAAAACTCAAAAATAGAGGCTTTATATATACATGTAAATGGTTTTCAGTTATATTCTCTGGCCGAAACGAAATAGAAATATTAAAAATATCTTAAAAAGGATATTTTAATTTTACCATTTACTTGTAATATATCTACATGTATATCATAGCATGGTCAATCCTAGTAGATGGGGATGTGATTTAATATGATATAACAAAATATTGTTTGTCTTTCTAAAGTGTCTATTCAGAGGCGTAAAATATTAACATAGAATGAAACTTTCTAAATATCATTTTGTTACATGATATTCTTACATATTCGCTCATTGAAAATGACGGTAAGTCACCTAGTAATTCAATTAATTGTACCTCGGGCTTGATATTTCATACTAATATATGAGCCGCGTCATGACAAAACCAACATAGTGGGTTTGCGACCAGCATGGATCCAGACCAGCCTGCGCCTCCGCGCAGTCTGATCAGGATCCATGCTGTTCGCTTAACAACTGTATTACAAGTAGAGAAACTGATAGCGAACAGCATGGATCCTGATCAGACTGCGCGGATGCGCAGGCTGGTCTGGATCCATGCTGGTCGCAAACGCACTATGTTGGTTTTGTGGTGACGCGGCTCAATTATTGTGTTTGTGATGCTAGATAACAAAATTATTGTGTAAATAATAAATATTTCAACTGCAATAAATATTTTACAAAAATAAACAAATTAATTTTTTAAGTAAGCTAACTTTTCGTTCCATCAATTTGCAAGTAACATAACAATCGACAGACGATGGTATTTTACATGTAATAATTTAAGGTTAAGTTATATAAACAAACAACTTTTGGATATATAACGATACCGTTTTATATATAAACATATTATAGATTATGTAAATATTAGAAAGAAATATGACATGTGTGTATATATTATATAAAAATATGTTTATTGTAGGTTTCACGATAGATTAGACAATTTTCACATATTTCTTGTTCATTATTTAGGTTACCGACACATTCATTTTTGAACTCGGAAAATACTGGGGAAATAACATAAAAGTTATATATATAAAATAGAATTCCCTGTTTTCAAATGAAAAATTTATGTTCTCCAGTTCTGGAGGAAATAAAAGTATATTTAAGTATCTAAAAAGGCTATTACATATCTTTAAATTTCAACGCACTTGCTTTATAAATCTTATGTATTATTTTATTCCAACCCAATTTATTTTCTTCTTGTGGTACTAAGATCATCATATTTCACTCGTGACTACCGCCACTCATGAAATATTTATTTTCATACCACTCGTTGAAAATGAATCCTGTATTTAAAAAAAAAAACCTTGAATATCCTCTATATACATAACCCATAGGGATAAGAATTGAATTTAGATTTAATTGAATTTAAAAATTATCATATCCGTTAAATTAAGACATGACAGTCATGTTGCATTAAGTAATTTAAGTTATAAATATTGTTTAAAACATGCATGTAAACAACATTTTTAAACAGTCAAAATGCATATAAATGATTCATGATTTAAGACAAAATGTCTTACCTTTGCACCATTAGCAATCAGGACCTCTGTAAAACCTTTTCCCATGCCCGATGCCCCACCAGTTACCAATGCAACTTTTCCTTCCACCTTCATCTTACATTTAACGTACACAGCTTGGTCTTACATGAAAACTATTCCTCAACAGCGCCTCATCTCACATCAGAATTTATCTTTATATTATCACACTGGTCTATAAACTCCGATCATATCCAGTGTACCCTAAGATAGAAACAGTGGCGAAATGAATTTCTAAATACTTTATTAAATTTATGGTTTAATAAACCATGCAATAAACAAATATAGCGCGTACAATATCGCGACTTGATAAAAATCATTACATTAAGAAAGAGCCCAGGGTTAAACGTGTTACTTAAAAACTTTAAAAGTAACTCCACTGTTTAGATTAATTATATAACCTTTTACATTTTCTATTACATTCGCTTTAAATAATTTAATGGTCAAGTGTAAACATCTAAAACGATTTAATCTTCAACCTGACCTATACCTTAATCGGTTTATCCACTTTGAACCGTTTACTAATGAAATAAATTGATAAAAATCTAAATGAAGTTCGTCCGTAAAGTTTTGTGTATTTTCAGATTACTACAGTGACCTTTATAACAACACATTAACCTGGGAAGATATTTTCAATGGCTTGTATTTATATAGTAGTACTGTCATGTACCATTGACAATTGCGATAATTGTCAGCGAGCATCACAGTTACCCTATAATGTGTAAATCTAAATAATTTGCAATTATAATTTGGCATCTATCGTTCTCCTTTATCGTTTTGTACAATAAACCTTTTCTCACGATAAAATATTAAAATATCTTTCAGCCAATAACACAAAAGAAAATATTGTTTATTTAAATCAAGGTATGGAAATTTCGCCTCTCTTTCATAATGTTATCATAAATCCTTAAGAAAATGAGCCCATGTCATTGCATCCTCGGTAACCCAAGCTATGTACCGTATACCAGTTTTAAATGTAGTATATACGGAATGTGTACCGTGGGTCCCGACAATGATGCCATGGTTTTCCAAAACAATATTATATACTTTAATAAACATACTCGTAATTAATATCAAAAGCGACAAAAACATAAATATCCACTGCATATTAAATAATATACCCTGCAAAAATGTAATAAATCCGTGCTTTATTTCTGTGTCATTGTCTGCAAATATTAAGTGCCAAAATAAGCAGGTGCTTTAAATATTCCATAAAGTAAGTAACGCAATTTATCGACCGATACCAATTGCGCCCAATCACATCAAACTATTTTCGCCCAATTTGCACAACACATGTTTCTCACCCACTATTGTAACAACTGAATGACCGACCCACGATTTAGATCTATACTTTCTATGTCTAGTAGTGTTTCAACAAACTTTTCAGTAAGCACCAGGTATGTGCTCAATTATATCTGACACTGATTGTTTAGAAATATTTCGACTTTCTGCTCTAGACATCATTTTCAGATGCCTGCTTATGCATTTGTAGAACTCTAAGAATGAAAACATTAGTTTATGTAACAGTTCAGACTTTTAACTTCTTTGAAAATACTTTTGTTTTGTCGCGCTGTTTTGTATATAATGATAAAAAATGAGAACTATCTGCTTTTCATTTAAAGTTGCTTCTTTCATTTAAAGTTTTTTTTTCATGTGAAGTTTAAGAAATGGAGGAATGAATTTCTTTGCTAGGATCATTATTTATAAAGATAAAAACTCTTCATGGTAGAAAAAACTCAGAACAGACAAAGAGTACTGAGTTATTAATCCGCAAGTGCATACCTAATTTCCTTATGCACGTTCACCGACTTTACCTATCCGCATACCTAACTTTGCTTTAACAATTTCCTGAGTTGGTAAATAACAACAATTATAACATTTACATGTACATACATTTGTATTAGAGAAATGATATTGTCTTAATCCTGTATGGGATCCGTAAGAATGGAATTGTTTAGGAGGGAAAAATGACGATTTATAAAATATAGAATTACGATTTGAATGCAAGCGTTGTATTGCTTTGAAAATTGTACATCTTATCTTTTCAATTCTACTGTATGTTGAAGCCTGAATGAAAAAGGATGAGAGCGATAGACGAGTACTGTAGAATTTTAAAAAAAGTATATATTACTTTGAATTTCAACGTACATCACACTGCAAAGCAGTTCCCTTAAAACGATTAGAAATTACAAAAAAAACTATGTGACATTCTGCGTTTATAAATCATAGATTGAAGTCTAAAAAATACCTTTGCTGAGGCAAGTTCATGTAAAATCAAAATAACTAAAACTTGGAAATGGTAATTGATTTATCAGATATCGCAATAAGAGATTTAAACATTGAGTAAACTCATTTTCACTCAAGTACACGCCCTGACACAAAAAGGAAATGGTTATAAAATTAAACATGTATTTGAACAAAAAAAAAAAATTAAAAGTTTTCTTAAAACTGAAAATACCTACGCTCTTGAAGACTGTTTAACTATGATTTACATCTACTCAAAGATGTACCCTGGTCTTTGATGGCGGATCATTAACAAATATTTGAACATGATTAGCAATAAATTTACAATGTAATATATGAATTTATTCTACACTATAATCCGATACTCAACAAATACAACATTTTTCTTTCAAGTTTGGATTGCTTAAAAGTTTGTTAAATATTTTGACAATCGCAATGATATTTCTTGCTGTTAACAGAAATGAAAAAAGATATAATAACTTTAGATGACATTGCCTTCTATACACCTTGCATAAAATCTGTTTTGGCTACCAAATGAATCGTGGTAACAATTTAAAGGGCCGTGTATATATGTACTTAGTATTTATTTGCAGTGCTTTATATTCATTTAAGAGGATCGACTAAGAATATAAGTCTCTGTAAAACCTTGTGTTGTACAACTTCAGGAATAAACCATGTCAACAACCAGTATCAACAGTATCAATACAGTCACAGATGTATGTATATTCAACAACAAAGAAAGAAAAAACAACAACAAAAAACCACTCCCACTTTCCAAACCACCCAAACAACCCAAATATATCCCCTCCAAAAAAAAAAAATAAATAAATGATGAAAATAAAAATAAAATGAAAACAAATGAATAAATAACATAACAAAAATGGAAATAGAAACAAAAACAAAAACAATAAGAAGAAACCCAAACAAACAAAACAATAATCATAATCAAAATTATTTGAAAATGTTGTATATTAAATGCTTATAAATGAATCCAGATTTCTTTATCATTGTTATTAACTTTTTTCTACATAAAATATTTTACAGCTTCTTGACCCACCGCAGCGAACTTACTCAATAAAATAAAGTAATAAACAGAAAACAGAATTGTTCCATATATTTATGGTATGCACAAGTTAAATGCTTATAGTAATGGAACAATTACTGACACAATTTGGATTGATTTACGAGAAAACAACTTCCACCAGGTAATAAAAACAATAAAAAGCAATTTCAGGTAAGTGCTCATGTGAAAAGATAAGACTTTCACGTTTGATCATTTTCTAGTGTAACAAAGTTAAAAGCTTATTTTTCTTTGGCAACCAACAAAGATTTATATCACGTATCAACACACTTTTCTTTCAAACACCTAAATAAAACACAAATTCGGATTTCAAAATAATGCTGTCTTATTAATTATTATACCTCAAACTTCAATTTCCGTTGCAAAATGTTGAACATGAAAACTAAAATTAAAAAAGAGCCTCAAATTTCGTTTTGCATATTGCAGTCTCATGTTTGCAAACCATTGTTTATTACATTCCAAACAAAAAAGCCGCAATCTTATAAGAAAATAATAATTCGAACCGATAGTTAAAATTGCAACAGAAATAATCAATGTACGAATATTGCAGAAATTTGTAAATGAAAATGCTTTCTTGATAATGCTTTGCGCCTCTGCAAAATGTAACATCTTAGACAGTTATATTGTCTAATTAAACTATCACTTGCTGGCTTCCTTGAATCTTTCTTGCCAAGTTCAGAAGAGATATCTCGATGCGTTTCATTAAAATAACTTAGTGGAAGATAAGTAAATATGTTAAAATGAATCGAAGCTTTCAACTAGCTTCAGATAAAGGAACATTTTCTAGGTTTCTTCTTGTAGCAACGCTGTTTCATAAAACCAAAGGGAAATACCCGGACAGAAATAACGTAATATTATCATCATTATGAAGGCGGGAGAATGTTTGATATTTTAAGCATGAATTAACCATGATTTGTACCAACAACACCACGAAAACCATAAGATAAAACACAACAGATTGGAAACCAACAGTACGCGTCCACTTTCCCTAGAGATGATTTTCAACTTTTGTTATGGTAACTATGGTAACACTTAATACTTAACATACAGGTGGATGTCGTTTACTAGATATTTTATCATAAAATTATTAAAAGAGAAATTAAAACACGTATCTGTAGTTTCTATATTTCTATTTTCGAAAGGGCCGATGTGGCAACTTTTGTTAGACTGTTATAGAGAGACATCCATCCTAGCTTTGCTATTTAAGTTAAAACAAACTTAATAATCTAAATCCGGATATAATAAACTCAAAACACCAGTTATATGTTTATTTATAATACTGCACGTTTGCAACGTCGTTTTTCATTGGATAATCGTGACGTTTATATAGTTTTATATACACGGCTGTTGTCGATTCATGAACAAATCTTACTTTTTTCTCTAAAAAATGATGTTTGCTGTATTATAAATTCGTTATAAAGAATGTTGACAGGTTATATGGCCGTATATAAACGGCTATTTGCAATATAACCCTCGCCTAGCGGCTCGGGTTATATTTACAAATAGCCGTTTATATAGAGCCATATAACCTGTCAACGATCTTTATAACTAGTAATATACTCGTATTTACATTTTAAAATAAGCAAGGTAAGATAACAACATAAATGACACTTACACGACACCAACGTCAAATGAACCTTAATCCACAGGACACCATTAATATTATACTTTCATAAACAAGGTAGTTATTTAGTTATCACTAAATCCAAAAAAAAAACTGAACAACTATTATATGTACATAGCACTTATTCCTATCATTTGTAAACACGTCCCAGTAATAATCCAAACACAACATTGCCCTTCACAACACACTAACTACATAACGATAAAAGAATGCAAGGCGCTCTATCTTTACCAATCTTAGAGAACCTTAAATAATATCATGTGACGTAACTATTCTTTCAGTACCTGATAGGATCAAAGTTGATAACATTTATATTTTCTGATTGCAACATATTGTTTATATATAAAATATTTCACTTTCGGTAATGAAGCGAGAATTTGTGCGTTAAATATTACTTTCCGCATGATCATTAATAAAAACTCCTTTTTGTTCTGCTTTTCTTTCTTGATATATCATACTGTCAAAAAGTATAACGAGACTGATAAAGAAATATTTTATTTATGATGACATGCAAAAGTCTTTGTAAAACATACTATTATACATTTTACAAAAGTCTGTGTTTTACATCATAAAATATTAGTTTCTCTTTTTCACCATAATTTCTAAAATAAAAAGTGTTGGGATTATTTTTTTGGTCTTACATGGAAAACATGAATAGATATTTTATGTATCTTATAATTTTGATTTACGTGACAATAGACAACATGCTATAATCAGATTCAAAACTATATTTAAGTTTTTTTATATATCTTAATCTAAATAAAGTTTAAAACACCAAAAATGAGCTTATGTTGGTATTAAAGAAGATCATGAAGTTCCAAATATGTGTAACATTAAACTTAGATACGGCAATATTAGAAGGAAATTACCATTAAATATATTTGAAAATAATTCTTTTGGCCCTTTCCGAAATATCGGGTGGCCTTGTGAAATGATATAAACATATCTCAACCGGTTCTGGGTCAATAAGTATCACATGGTCCATAAAGCACGATGCTTCAAGTGAATTGATGCACTTTTTGTTGTGTCCACTACTTAAAGACTGTTTATTTATGTTTGTATTTTCGTAAAAATAATGCTTCAGTTCAAGGAATTATTGCATTGATAAATCAAAAGCGTGTCTTTCGATCATCTAAGCATTCATAACAAATGTTAGATAAACAAATCAGAAATCGTACAGATTCCACTTTTTTGCATCAATAGAATGAATATAAAATAAGAACACATAACAAGACGTTATAAAGTATCTTTTCCTTATCATAATTGCATCATACATTTCCTCGTAAGTATAGACTTTAGTTAAAGTAGTCTTCTTAAACCTATGAACTTGAACATATGATAGAACAAGCTGTTAACCTAATCTTCCATTAACTGCTGATTCTCCTGGCTGTTGTGGAATTATTATCATGGAATAATTAATGACAAAAGTTAAATGATTTATGAGAAAACAACTTTCCTCGGTAATAAAAACAATCCAATATCAGCTACTAAAAATCAAGTTAAGTGATAAGAAGCTCACGTTTCAACTGTACCAAAAATGTAACAATAAGGGGTTTTACTCTTTACCTTTGCATACATAAGGAAATCACATATTTTTCATACTTTTTGTGAATACTGCCGTGTAGAAACGTCTGTTTGCTATATTGTCATTGCCAAGTGGTTCGTATATATATATAAGCATACAACCGAATATACTTACACTACCGAAATTAATTACACGCAATATTTTGTAAAACGCATGAATCAAGTTGATATAAACATAAATACATGATATGGATTTTAAAATAGGATTTCTTTAAAATGGCAATTTTTGAGCAAGTATCTTATAAATGATTTGTTTGAACAAGGAAACAGTCATATTTGATCGACCAGCTAAAAAGCATTCATTTATGAAAGTATGCTCTTGATCCCCCGCATAATATTTACTCAAAGTCAGTGATGAGCTATGTTAATAATTTTTGGCACCAAGGTCTATTTTACTTGATAAAATCACATTTTCAGGTTGGATTGTATTTTATAAATAGTTTTTCTGTCTGTTTCTTAAACTATTTTTTTTTAGTAAAAATTATGCAATTCATAAACTCATAGGAGGGTTTATAACTGATGCACTGCAGAAGATTTCATTAGTTAAAATTAAAGTGGGAATAATCAAGAAAAAAATGCTGAAAAAATCATGAACTTTTTGTCTTAAGATTAAATTTAGAGAAGAGATGTGCGTCTTGTATGTATAATGTTTAAAATCATTATGCTTTAAAACTAACAAAAATGATATTTTTTCTAGAGGAGTCTAAAACCCCGCACTTGCTTATTTTTTATCATAAGTTCTAAGTAAGTAAATATTAAGCAATAATGTATGATTGCCATAAAACTTACATGCCGAGCTGATAGCGAGCAAATACAATTATCTTTTCTTTCAAATAGAACGGCCATATATTAGTTTGACACCAACCTTTCTTTTTGAAGGTACTATCTTTTATTATACGAATCCGTGCAGATAAAAATCACCATCTAGATTATTCCAGATCAAAATCACATTACCACCACTGTTGGATACAAAAACAATGTTATTGTTTCACCATTTTACCATTTTGCCGCACAATTAACGAAAATCAAAATTACCTGATATTGTATGCATGCATCACAAGCTCTGTAATATAAATTCTTATAGTTTACTATACTCACAAATTTTTTAAAGTAGTTGTAGAAAGAATAAAATAAATCCAGAGAAAGGAGCACTACCACAGCACATAAAACTATCATAACGATACATGAATCTTAAGGCTCTATCGTTACTATCTTAGAGAATCTAATGTATGTGGCGTAACTATTTTTCTGTTTTATGTTCTTATTGTTTATATTTGTTATATATTGTTTCTTTGCGAAAATAATAAAATGACACATAACAGGAAATATTTTTGTTCCTTCTTTTAACAATGTTTAAGGCAAAAAGAAAGTAAACATACAACTGGTGAATTGTTCAAGTCGACTTCACGCTTTCCCTCATTTTTTAATAATGATTGAAATACAAATTACCATTTTCTAACTAAAACACTGGAAACTATACCGTAAGCCTTTTTAATACCAAACACATGCAAGTACAAAAAAGAAAAACAGAAAATTAAACAGGTCGATTAAACAGTAATTGTAAAAGAACACATGAATTGTTATCAAAAAAACATAATAACGGTAACATCGATTAAATCAATGTGTTATAAATGAAAAATGTTAGCAGTTTTTATCCCTTATATATAGAATTGATGTTTAATAAGTAAGGTACTATTATGCTTATCCAGTCATAAAAGATTATTTAAGCTAAAACATGAAAAGTTCATATTTGATTTGATTAAATAAGTGAAAACTCATCAAATTATGTTATGTTAGCAAATCAATGCTACAGGAAATGTTTTGAGCAAATTGCCGTTCTCTGTATAACTAACTATTTGACCTTTCGTTAACAAATATGTTACAAATTAGCGTTGGCGGTTAATTAAGTCCAATGAAGTATTAAGTGTGATAAGAGCTATGTCATCAGTCTGGTAAGTAAGGTGGAAAATTTCTGTCCTCATGACACGTATTTCTTTATTCATTGAACATCTGTCTCGTTTAAGACTATTAAGAAATTACTGCTGTAATATGCCTTTGCTTCTCAAATGATAATCATTCGTTTGTGCTATATTGGTACTAAATTTAGCTTTAGAATGAAGTTGGTTCACTTACTAATTATATAAAATTTCCTATGTAGCATATTTACTTTATTATCTTTGAGCAAAAAAATTTTCATCATTGATTATTTTATAATATCACATTTACAAGTGAATTGCAATGCTCTAATTTATAACTTGCCGATAAAGAATGTTTACAATACTTTACAAGATCATATTTTATCCTTTTCTTTTAGGCTGGTATCAAATATTGGTTTAAGGTCAAAGATTATATTAAATTTGTAAAGATAGTTATCAAACGCGATTTAAGAAAAGTTTGAATGAACTGACCCGAGTTAGAAACAAACAACAGTCTAGAACAAACGTTAGATAAAAATAAATATAGTTTACTATTTGCAAAATATACTGACTTGTAACTTTTTTCCCAGTACCCAAAAGGATCAGTGTAATACGTAACATCATTTTCCTTTTAAAATATTCCTTTTTCTGTACAGTTGTAAAAAATTATTTGCTTAAATATAAATAATTGCAGATGAAATATTTCAAGGAATAAATATCTCTGAACAAAAAGCAACACAAATTGTTGATATAAGTATTTCCAATTGAAAGTTTTTTTTTAATTTGTCATACAGAAATTGGTTTGCATTTAGATTTGCTTTTTTATTTAGTTTTTCAAAACTTCTATCACTTTCATTTTACAAAAAATGCATATCGTTTTTTAATATGAATAAAAAAAAATAAATTACCCTTCGTTTGAAAGTATTTTTGCTGATTTTATAAAAATTGCATGTTTAAAATAGCAAAACGCGAAAACTTGTTCTGCTTACATTAT